GAAACAGTTCAAAGAGAAGGAAAAGGAGGTTAACGATCTCTTTGAAATGTAGGTTCAAATTCCCAGCACGGCCCCAGTCAATTACCAGCAAGCACTGTGACACACATCCACCGACTAACGAGGAAGACAAGGGGGGCACGTGGTGCAGAGGTCCAAGCGGGCAGCGGTGGGGGTTAAAGGACATCACCACGGTGGTGGGAAAGTTTCCAGGGAAAAACAATTGGTTTTTTTCAGGCTGATTCATCCCCCTGGGATGCACCTGGAGTGGAGGAAGGACGACCGGAGGGGATGGAGCTGGGCAGGGTGGCAGCACATCCCCCTGCCCAAACCCCCTTGCAGCTGGCAGGGGTTTTTTTTGAAGGATGCACAGCACCTGGCACAGCGGGCTGCTGCTTTCTCTGGGGTGCTCTTCCATGGCAGAATGAACCACTTTTATTTGAACGCCGTTAATGAAAGGCAGTGCAGGGGTGGAGATGGGGCAGGAGGGGGGTGGTTTTGTTCTGGCACTGAGGGACGCGTGCACACAGGCATACAAATGCTAGGAGACAAAGACTGTGATTAAGGGCCAGTGCTCCAACACCCTGCTTATTACAGGAAAGGATTTATCTGATGGCCTAGTTTCAGCTTCAATTTTCCACCTTTTAATCAGGTTCCCAGGTCCACTTATCTGCTCAAGAAGGGAAGGAAGGGGCTATCTCAGGGGCGATGGGGCAGGAATAATGCTATGGCGCTGCCTTTAGAAACGTCCATGGGGCAGACGGTTTTGCTGCCCCAAAGCTTTCCCAGGAGGGAGATCCCGGGGCAGCCAGAAGGATTATGCCCAGCCATGCAGCATTATTTTCTGGCAGGGCAAGAGTGCATCTGCTCTTTCCAGTCTGACCAAGCCTGGGTGTGTGGAACAAACGTGCTGGAAATAAAAACCTCCTGCAAAATGGAAAATGTACAGAGGAACAGCTATTTTTAAAAGGGACGGCACCTACTGCTGCTATGAAGTCAGTCACATAATCAGTCAGCGAGGGACTTCTGTAGGCTGACAGCTGACAGCCAGGAGAAACAGCTCCAGCAGACCGGCAAGAAGGAAATGGGAGTTTTTGGGAACTAGGAGATGCATCTTTTCAAATAAAAAGAAGGTTGTCCTATGCTGCCTTGGGCACAAGGCGGATGGGGGAAGCAATCCTCAATGTCTTTCCCAACATGCTGGAAAGAGGGGTGAGATGCTGATAACCCTCCAGGAGACAGAGCGCTGCAAGCAAGTGCCAGCTCAGCCACTTCTTCCCCCTCCCTAACCCAACCTATCCTTATTGCCTAGCCTCCACTGAGGTTTTCCTGCTTCTAAAAATATTCAGCCTCTAATTAAAATGCCTGTCTTGCTTGCCAGGGCAAACGTATCCGGCTGCAGGTCCTGGAGACAGCCAGAGCTTGCAACTAACCAGCCTGGCCAGCTTTCCTGGCATGGGTGGCTTGGGTGATGTCTGACACCAGGGTTTAGTCCATCATGCTGTGTTATCAAGCTGACAGCAGCTTTAGGAAGCTGGCACGAGGGCCTCCTCAATTTTTCCAAGCCTGAAGCCATTGTGTGCTTTTTCCTCCTCCATGGGGACATTAGTGCTCTGTTTCAGGTGTCCGGTTCCTGTGGTGGTGAGGGACGCATGAATGGGCAATATGGGGGCTCATGCTGATGATGAAGGCTTGAGGGCTTCTTCCCATGCAGAGGACTTTGGAAAGGCTATTTAAATAGCAAAAATCACTAGCAAAATGAGAGGATGGTAAGGCAAGGGGGCAAAAGAGTACTGGGAGGTACTCCAGCACAGTGCTGGAGCATCATGTAAGTGGGACATTCATACGGGAGTGGGAGAAGGGAGCTTCAGACCTGTTGGTCCCTGGACAGTGTCCATCCCCCAGCAAACTGGACACTCTCCATCACTCCAACTGAGCCTGTTGTCCCAGGGCAGGAGGGATCCCATCCAGAAGGACCCCCAGAAGGAGCATGGTGGTGTAGCCTAATGTTCACAGAATGCAATAGTGGACACCAGAGGAGCAGTCATCTCTAAGGGTTGGTGACAGCTTTTCCTCTACAGTCCACAACAGTGCTGGGAGCAGGATCTGGCCTCTCTTGGAGATGCCTACCCCCAGGTTATGGTCTGATCAAACCTTGCAGTCCTCGAGGACAGGGTAGTTTGGAAAGGCAGATGGAGAGCCAACAGCCTCTTCCAGGCAGCTTGCAGCTCTGCCTGCCTGGATGGAAGCTGCAGTTGTTCCTTCAGGCTTGGGAGGACCGGGAATGCTGCAGCTTCCCGGAGGCGGTTTCCTCATTGGGGTTCTGCTTGCATCACTTTTATACACAGCACCAAGAAGTGCTTAAAATTAAATTTGCTATATAAGAGCAGGCAAAGCCCTCCTGAGAGCTATTTATTCTTTAGTTGCAATGGCTCAGCATGCTCTTAGCCCTCCCTGGGGCAGTCCCTGCTCCTCAGAGAGCAGTGCTGAGGCTGGAACACGTGTGTCTCACCACCGAAAGCTCTGCAGTCTGGCAGCGTGTGGCTTTCCGTGCTATGGCATTGCTCCTACACCCATTCGCTTCCTCCCACCCCCATGGACTTGTGAAACAGCTCATGGGCTCTCCCTGCATCACCCACTCTGCAAATCCAGCCTTTCAACCCTGGCAGACTGTGTCCCAGATTGGCCAAATCCATGAAGAGATTCCCCACCATCTCTGACAAGCTTTGGAGCAGATCCTGGAGCAGGAAATTTGCTCCAGATACTCTTGTGCTGCTTCACTGTCACGTGTCCATAATTTCCTTTGAGTCAGCCAGTGAAGCCCTCAAGCCTGTCTGCTGGTGAGGAACCCAGCAAACCTAACACAGCGGGACAAATCCTGCCCCCAGTTTGGAGACGCAACACTCGTGAGGCTGGTGGGGCTGAGCAGAGCAAGGAGAGAAGTCATGTTGGACTTCAGACCCAGCAACAGCTGTCACCCAGCACTGAGGCAACAAATCCAGGGGATCTGGGTTTATTCTCCTCCAAATCACTTTATTATATTGTGAATAATCACAAAGCCTTATAATGCCGCAGAGGTTCTTTAAAAAAAAAAAAAAACAAACACAGCGACGGTATTTGCCAGCTTTTGCTAAGACTTGTGGAACTAGCAGCTAGCATGAGATTACAGAAGGAAATCTTGCAGTCCTCAATTGGATTGTCACATTGGGTTTTAAACTTACCACAGTGGTGCAAAGACAGTAACTTTGACAGCATGTGATCCCCGAAACTTTTCATCTACGTACAGACTTATAAAATTAAACAACTATTTAAAAATTACATTTTCTGCCAGCAGAAAAGACTTCTCTTAAAAAGGCAAGATCCACTAAAAAACATCTCCTCCCTCCCAAACTGCCCCCATCTTGCACTGCAGTTGGTTGCTGTTCCCCTCCAGATCCCTGCCTGTAGGCAGTCCCATTGCCTTTTTAAGAAAATCTATGTTTCTTGTGACTGTGAAGGCTGGTTGAGCATTGCAAAGGCTCAGTAGAGGGGGGAAAACCCCCAGCACTGACAGAAAAGGTTAAAATCCCACCCTAAGATCCACGATTGAAAAGGAGATAGATGAAAATGTGAGAGAGGGATCTCAGTATACAAAAAGTGAGGTGTTGACTCTGGCTTTCATGGGTTTCAACCATCCCTGGAGACAGCTGCTTTGAGCAATAGGGTTTCCATTTGCAAAAACCTTTGGGAGTGTGAGGATGAAGCCTGAGCTCCTCCCAGCACTCCCAAGTGGGGGTTGTGTGATGGGTTTATATCTGCATCGCCTTTGCACAGACCTCCCTAAACCAGCTTCAAACATTAAAGGTTGCCCTGATGCAAGGCTGGGTTTAGAGACCAAGCTGCAGACCAGCCCAAGCAGGACCCCCATCCGCAGCATCCCTTTCCATCCCCAGGACAGAGCGTGCCAGATTTGGACCAGACCTCAGCAGACACCTCCACTGCAGGAGCTCCTCTAAGCAGGTTGAAGGCTTCACAGTTCAAGCTGCGCTGCCTTCCCCTGCTATCTCCTAGCCTGGAGAAGAAGGGGGACAAGAGGGGCTCTCCCCTCTGCTTTGCCAGCATTTCAGCAATGAAGGAAAAAATGAATATATCTCTGAGGACCAGAGTTTTTATTAGATTTTGGATGGCAGCCAAGCTGTGCGAGAGAAAGAAAAGCCACAACTCTGGGGAAAAAAAAAAAAAACCCAAGATTTTTCCGCTGATAGGCAGAGCGCCCCAGGGTCACAGGTATCAGTGCTAATTCTTTCCCTGGCACGTTCTGGAGAGCGTTTCAGCGCTGGATATTGCCTCACGTGAGCCCAGCTGAGTCACAGATGTGTTCAGGTTGGGGATGTCAGCATGGAAAGAGCTTACTCTCACATCCTCTGGGTCTGCTTCTTGGTTTGATAAGGTCATCAAGATGAGAATCCCTGTCAAAGTTTTCTTCCAAGCTTCCCCAGAAAAGAAGGAGGGATTTTTAATTTTTTTATTTATTTTTTTTTAAGCTAGGCTTCATGACCTTTTCATTTTGCAACTCAGTTAATTTGCTTCATGGGAGCCTGGTTCCTGGGTGAGATGTGGCTGTTGGCAGACCCCTCTGCTTCCCTTGCTCTGCCGCACATCATCTCTGAGCAATAGCTTGCTAAGGTTAAAAAAGACAGGAGGTTGCCAAGGTTGGACCTGAAGTAATTTAACATGAAAAGGATTGAGATGGGAATATAGGGAGAAAATTGTGGGAAAAGTTCTCAACTTACTCAATGTTCATTGCACACCTATGCAAATAACATGTAAAACCCAGCACATTAGGAGCACCCTGTATTCAGGTTTGTCTGGAAATGTTTCTTCAAGACTGAAAGTGCATGACAGGGAACAGGGTGCTGCTAATGAAGGCAACATCCAGAAGGCACTTTGTGGGGAATAATAATTAAAAAAAAAAAAAAAATAAGACGATGCACGGGTTTGTAAGCAAGCAGCTACAAAGTCAGTAAGTTTTGGTGTGTGCTCTGGAGAGACGTAGCTTTGCTCCTACAAACGTGTCTGGGGCGTGAAGGTTTGCTCCAGACCAGCTGTTCTGCCCTGGGACCTGCAGAGCAGCTTGGTCCCCGTTGTCCAGCATCACCGCTCTTGAGCTAATGGGCTGCATGCAGGACCTCAATGTGCTGGGCAAAATCTGGAGCCTGCAGATGATGTGGGCAAGGATTTGAGAGTTTATAAAATCCACAAACAATCAAGTATTGGCATATACAAATATATAAATTATTAACAGTTTTACAAAAGGCACACTGCAAGCCATCTCAGTCCGACACCTGTACAAATCCCATCCCCACCCTCCCTTCCCCACCCCTTCTCCCCAGCTTTCATCACGAAACGTAAGGCGCTGCTGCTACGGACCCGTGGCTGTCGTGGCAACTGAGGACCTCTTTTTTGGTCAGCCCAATTTGTCGGTGGTACTGTCCTTCTTTGATGGTCTTAAGACACTGTATGTTCTTCCCCAAGGTGATGCTTTTGATGGAAGGCAGGTATTTCAGCACAGTCTTTGGCAAGGATGACACGCCTGTTCCAGAAAGGTTGAGCTCTTGTAGGGAGTTCAGACCAAAGATAACTTCAGCAGTCAGTGACTTCAGGTCGGGATTGCTGGATAAATCCAGAACTTGGAGGGCTGGTAGTTCCTTGAAGCTGTAAGGAGATAACTGCCCAAAGCCACGCAGGCTGCTGAGGGATAAATGAATCAAATCTTTCAGCCCCATGAAGTCTCCTTTCTCAATCTTGACTAGAGGGTTCCCGTCAAGATTTAAGTATCGGAGAGGAATTCCTTGAAGGTCTGGCACAGATGTTAGCCTGTTTCCAGAAAGATTTAAATTCTGGATGTTGGGGATGCTCTTTTCACGGTGCCTCGTAATTGTGCTGAGCATATTATTGGATAGATCCACATTCAGGGGTTTTCCTTGACCTTTTGAAGCAAAAATGTCTACAGCTATATCCAAAAGCTTGTTATTGCTCAAATCTATGTCACTCAGAGGAGAACTGGAGAAACAGTCTTCTGGAAGGACTTCCAGAGAGTTATGACTCAGATCCAAGGACTCCAGGTACCGAAGCCTGGAGAAGGTTGTGGAGGAAATCTTGGCAATTTTGTTGTAGCTCAGGTCAAGGCTCACCAAGGTGGTGTATCCAGGGCCAGTAAGCATCGATTCATTGATTGTTTCCAGTTTGTTTGATGATAGATCCAAGTAGGAGGTATCCAGAGGGATTGGGACAGGAACAATGTGTGAGCCTATTCCACTGCAGTCCACCTTGGTCAAGCTAAAGCTGTCAAAGAGACCAAAGCTTTCCACTTCGCAGTGGCAGCCAGGGAAGCAGGTTTTGGTGGTACCAAAACAAGGAAGGAAAAGCAGCAAATTGAACCAAGCTAGGAACTGCATTGTTGACCTGGAAAACAAGACAATAAGAAAATAGATTTAATTGCAGTAGAAATTACTTTACTGAAGATGTGTAACAGTTTTGAGTCGTGCAGTTTTCTGTCTTTCCAAAGGGATAGACTAAGTATACTCTTAAATAGCATGGATGTCCCAAACACTTCGTCTGTAAAAATATAGAAGCTTAGCTATAAGAAAACTTATATTAACTAGAAAGCTGCTTAAGGCCTAGAACTGTTTTAAAGACTATAATCGTGGGAAAGGGGTTTCTAATCAGGGTAATAGGTAATGGAGCTAACTGACCATGGCAATGTACAATGCTGCTACGTTCCTTGTACAGTCCCTACCCAACCGGACAATAGGCCTGGGAATATTAATCTTATGAAGTAAGTTGTAATGGACAAGTGTATCCACAGCGAGGATACTGCGCATGCCTGCAAGAAGAGGGTCATCCAGCGGACACAGGTGCGAGACCACTGACAACCATCAGAGACCCCTGAGGACCACCGACTCAAATCACTGAGCATGCGTGACAGGGAGGAGAATATGGAAATGGATTCCAAGAAATGATTATCATAGGACTGCCTTTTCTCGGAAAAATAATGAATATGTATATTTTGATTCTATATAACCTGTGTGTTGGTGATCACCTGGTATGCACGTTTGGTGGAGCCATTTCCCCCGTGCATCCAGCGCTGCAATAAAGCAAACCTAGGGTAACTCACGTCTGGTAGATTTTTTCTTTAACATTGCCCCTCATGTTGTCAACCCCCCTGGGAAGTTAATGGAGAAAAAAATATTGGGTTAACAGTCTTTGCAGATATAACCAAGTTAAGACACAACTGAAAATTAGCTGTAAGAACAGTAGGCTGCCTTAAATCAAGATCCATCCAACATGCGTCCTTTTGGCTGGACCATGGAGGAAGCTAAATGGCAGCTTAAACCCTGATTCATTTTACAGCCTGGCAAACTTCAGCACACAGAGGTCTTCATGTCAGGGCATCCATGTGAGATTTGGGAGCGCCGGGTTCAAAACTCTGCATTGACAGGTTGGAGAAATTATGTAGGCTGTGCACCCAGTGCGAGCCTTAGGTGTCCAAAACCCTTACCAGGGAAGGAAAAACCGGAGCTCCGTTCAAATTTCCTATATAAGGCAGAGATAACAGCATCATCAGAACATCCTCTAAGATGAACACCTAGAAAGGCCAGCTGCCTACTCCCAAATGGACAGCATGCCTCCCTTGCTTAGAACTTCAGATGCAAATTTAGAAGTAGGATCATTGTTTTATGTCAACTGGCTAAAAAAGAGGGCTAAACCCAACCCTCCTCGGGCTGGTGGCAGGTAGGACAGACAACGGCCACCTGGCTCCTTGCCTGCCAAAGCAGAGGAACCAAGGACTGCTCAGTCTAACCCAGGCTCTGCTGTGGTGGGCCCAGCATCCCGCACAGGCATCGAGTGGAGCGCCATTTCATACAGAGCCTCTGGGGAGTCGTTGCTAATTACATTAAGTATTCTCTCTGATTAACAATGCCAGCAAGCAAGGAGCTCTCTCTACCCCTCTGGTTTTGACCCTTCTCCATCTAAGACATTTCTGTCCCACCATTGTCACAGTCAAGGGAGGAAGAGAGCTGATCTACACCTCACTGGCTTGGCTGGACCTCTCCAGATCACATCCTAACAGCTCCTCTGCACAACTGTGGGCAACAGCAGCTGCGTGATTTCAACAGCCAGCCAGAAAAGCTTTAGCTCTGCATCTCTGGAGAGGGTAGATTGAAGCGTGCCAGCATCCTGCAGGTCAGCAGAGGCAGCAAGGGCTGTCCTCATTGGTTCCCCTTGCAGTCATGGGTGACGGCTCCTCATGCCTTACAAACAAGGTTTCCAGGAGGCTGCCAACAAAAACTCCCACCAAACCAGGCAAGCAGATTTATCAGCGCTGCTCTTTGGCTATGCTGCTGGTGATCAACAGAGACTCATGTGCCAAGCACTCATGTAGAGAAAAAAAAAAAAAAAAAAAAAAAAATCCCTTTTAAACGCATGTTTCCATCCCCACCTCAGCCCCCCCAGTCTCTATTCTCACCTTTCCCACTGCTGTTTAAAAGCATTATATAAACTTCCTTGCAGTATCACCTTTCCCACACACCCTTTGATCTGGCTGAGGTGCCTTCTCCACAGCCCTTACACCTTCCCAGGACCATTTCCTAGAAGTTCATACTTCATCTTCCCTCACCCACCCCTTGGCAGAAGTTTCTCTCCCTTTTCAGCATGGTCTTCTTGGCCCTGCTCTCCTTCCCAGGAGACCGACCAGGGACTACTTGCCAATGTGCAAAAGAAGCGCAAAGGGGAAAAAGCGTTGTAAAAATATTATCCTGATCACTGATATGACTTGTCTGGTGGTAACTCCCAGACCTCTTGCAAATAGAGAGCAGAAGTTGGGACTCTGGCCAAAGAGCCTGCAACCAAAGCATTGCTAAAGGCCAACACGCAATCCTCTGGGGTCCATTATTCTATAGAAACAACAGAAAATCAGTAAGATGAGCCCCAGTCCCAGCCCATCTCAGTTTGCTTCTTGAGAAAACACATATGTGTGCAGAGGGGATGCAGGGGGTAGGAGCTCCTTTCTGCAGACACGTTTCCAGATATCCCTTTCCTAATGACATCAAGGCTGATCCTCTCTGGTTTTGTGCAGACGTCTTGCCCCCTTCTGAAGTCCCTCCTAAACTAAACACTACTTCTTCTTTTTTTCATGATGCTGCGTTTGGAATGCACTGAAATGTTTTATTACCAGGGGAAATTACAGCAGTGGAGATCTCTTTGGAAACTGAAAAAACAAAATCCCAAATGTTAAATGTCTCATCTACAGGGAACTACCTGTGTTAGTGTCAGCTCAGTCTACTGGTATTTCTTCTCCCAAATCCCACCCAGTGACAATTCCCAGAAGCCCAGCTCAGTTCCTCATGGCATCCTCTTAGCTCCAGTGGGAGCTGGATCAGACCCCAGCAGGTCCAAAGACACATCAGTGTGAGACTTGGCTCCTGATGGGCCACCTGAAGAAAAGCAAGAGGGCAATCTCCAAAGTACTAGTTTAACCGAGAGAAGAATTAAAGTCAACACTGGGCTTTGATATGCGGCAGCTCAAACCCCTTTTGACACGGGAATTCCCTTCCCAATCAGCCTCAGAAATGATCCCAGAAGTGGGTAGAGACAGTGACTCCCACTGCAACATCCATGGCTCCAACCAGCAGAAAGCACGAAACATTATGCAGCTGAAATGCAGTACACAAAGCTCAGCTTCGGTATTTGCACAGCATCTATTGCCTCTTCCCTCCTTACACTGCCCCAAATTCTCCCTTACCGGCTCTGCAATTGCTTTGCAGATGAGATGCAGTCCATTACTACCAGTTAAAAACTCCCTTATGGAGCAGCATGAAGTATTCATAGGCTAACAAGCCAGTTGGCCAATAGCTCTGATAAAAGAAAGGAGAAATAAAGGTACTGGTCATCATCTGGTTCAAGAAAGAGACTCCTGCAGTGCCAGATAATCGAGCTTAGGTACAGGCATGCTTCATCATCGCATGGAGAAATCAATAGTGGTCTTTGAAATGGGGAAAGAAACATGCCACAGGCATTTACAGTTCATCTGTGTACAGCGTGCATTTGAAACCGCATCAAATTGCCTTTGGATTGCTGCCTACGAGCTGCTCTGTTGATAAAGGCAGGAAGCCAAGGTATCCCCTCGTAAAAGGAAGATGAGTTATCCTCCTGCAGCGCTGGGGAGATTCACCTGGAGGAAACACCATGGGCCAGAAACCACCAGCCCCACCACCTGGGATGGCGAGGGGAAAGCCACTGATAGAAAACAGTCCGCTCCCAGACTGGTTCAACCATGACCTCTTCATTTCTATGGCTGTTGTAATGTGGAGAGATCCCAGGGATAAATTTTGGCCATCTGACAACTTGGGGGGTCTTATTATACCCACTGATTTCAACAGAAGCTGCTAGGGGTGCAGCATCATCCCTCATGTTTCAGGTGCCCAGCCCATCTCTCCCTTGACCATGGTGGAGCGGGTTGCCGGCTTTCCTTGGGTTGCTGTTTCCCACCCCATCCTTGGCTGCATCCTCCAAACCTGAGTCCCACCCAGCAACCAGGTGCACCCAGGATGACTCAGTTCAGCTCACTCATCCAACAAAACCCCCCTAAATCTTCCTTTTTCCCTCTTTGGTGAGTCACTTTTCCAGAAAACTGGGCTGCCCAGCTGCAGGAGTACCAGCTCTGACACAGGAATGAGGAAAACAGGACCTGTCTTTTCAACAGCGGCCCAGGATTGGAGCAAATCAGGTAAGACACGAATCTCTGTGTGTCTACAGCATGGTGGACAGATCCTGGTACTTTCAATGTTTTTTGCCAATGTGCTGCTGGATTAATTCTGGATTAACAGCAAACAGATCAACCTTTAAAGGAAAGAGGCAAAAAGGAAGGGCTGGAGTCCACCTATCCCAAATAGAGTTGCTGTTCTAGCAGAGGACGGAGGAGTTGGATTAGCAACAGTATTTCATCAGGAGGAAAATTTGGGGCTTATCTTCTGTCTCTTGCATCAGCCAAATGAACAAAAAGCAAAGGCTTTACAGCCAGGCCCACAAGTCCCACTTGGCTGCAGTCACTGATGGGGGGGCAGGGGAAAGGGAACGTCACTGGAAAGTGAAGCAAGCTGCACGGAATATGATAGAGGCCATAAATCCTCTAGACTGCAAAAAAGAGATAATTGGCTCTTTCTCTCTTTAAATACTTGGGGGGGCTCCGAGAGGCAGCTGGGATGGTGGGTCCGGAGCACCAGGATGCTCCCAAGTTGCTTCTCCAACAACAAAAGTGCTTCAGAGTCAATTTTTTTCCTTTTTTTCTTTCCCTCTGTCACTAATCAATCTCTAAAATAAGAATAATTATCAACTGAAGTACAGCACTAGCGGGGGGCTCCGAGAGGCAGCTGGGATGGTGGGTCCGGAGCACCAGGAT